CATTGAAACTTACTCTATTTATTTCTCTGAATATATTGGATAAACACAAAAATAGAGTTGAAAGAAACAATTACGAGAGTGAATATTCCACTCAAGACCCAAGCTAGTGTCAATATCATCACTCTAGAGTGAAATTCAATAACCGAATATTACATAGTCACAAAAGTTTAAGATTTGTAATACAATAGTAGAGAGTAGATTCTACACTATGAACAGTGTCGGATCCACCGGAACTTGATTGAATTATTCACTCTACGTGGATGTCAAATTGCTCCTGCATTGTTCAAATTAACACTACTATTTGTTCAGGTGCTAATAAGGAGTTATCATTTATTCTTCATTTTAGATTGATATAGTACACTAGTTGAGTAAAATAGTCACTACTTCCTGTTGAGATTTCATCCAAGTTGAATTAACCATTCTTCCACATGTCACAGTATTTATAGGCTTCCGACAGACGTTCAGCGGCGAAGTCTCCGCAGCGCCACCTTTATGCAGTGGCGAGAATTGACGGATGAGAAGTAGTGTGACTGTATAATTTTTTGATCGTTTGATATTTGAAAAATGACTCGAGTCCAACTAGACTAATTAGTTAACCTATATCTGTTTCATAAATTGTTCGAAATAATAATTCGAAACAAAAAAGACGGAAAATAACTGAGATAGGTATACGGAAATACGTTCATAACTCAATGTTGAAAAAAATTTCTCACTACGCGGGTATAGTAAAAAAGCTACTTGAAGCTAATATCATGATCATTATATCTTCGACACTATAATCTGTATTACTTATTTCACTATCTAGTAGACTGAACGATCTGAAACTGTATAGATTGATATTTCATCGTATATAGATTGAATTGAACAATGATAGTGTCAATTCAATCGACAACAGAGGAATATTCAAGTTCACTAGTGTCAGTAAACACTAGTATGAATTCAATTTCAATTGTTTGTGAATTGAGTTATCTGAGTTGATATTTTATTGATATTTCAGGAATATAGAGTGAATTCAATACGAGAATAGTGAAAATTCAATCTAGAATTAGTTTCGAAGGAGATAATCTGCGAGAAGTGTAGTAATAGAGTTGATTGCAGTATTAGAGTGAGTTTGTCAGAGTATTTCAACTCTAAAAACATACTCTACGGATTTCACTCGAAGCGGTTTTTTACTGTGTGTGTACTCATTCAAGTTTGTCCGAGCTTCCGGAAATGTATATTTCCATCATCAGGGTAGACTACAAAAATTGGAAATATTAAAATTAATTCACAATATTGAAAAAACTTTGTCACTTACACTTATTGAGAATGGTTACTCTGTTGTAAAATTTGTAAAATTGTTAACATTAACATACTGATGAGACGAAAAACAAGTTAAAAGAAATTATTTAGTTATAATCATGATTAGATAAGAGGCTACTTATTACCTCATGAATAAGTTTGAATTTTCAAATCCAACGTGGTTGAAACGATTTTAACGAATCTTCTTCTTCTCTTCGTTAGGTTGACATGAGTAGGTCGTAAGTCTGAATTCTTAACCCTTATGGTACATACTAATGTTAGTAATCCTCCAAATCTCAACCCAATGGAACAGAAAAAGGGGGAACATATTAATTACATAGTTGGCAGACCATGAAATACAACAAGTTCAACTGGAAAAGGTTTGATGTGAGGAATTTAAAAAAAAAGACTGTATGTTGTTATTCGGAATTGTTGATGTTCAAAATGCTATGAGGAAATCGAGATTGTTTGTCTAAAGCTAAGAGAAATGAGTATATTTCACTTAAATGTTGAATATCAGTTCTTTTATTAATGCAATTGGGATTTTGTGAGATGAATGCCATTTCTAGGAAGGATCTTTTAGTGAGGTTACTTTCAATTGCTAAAATTCATGCTGAGTCATAGTCCATACGATGATTCATTTTATTGACATGATCTGCAAGAGCACAACTTTCTGGATGTAATCTAGAGTCGCTCCTGTGGGAGGTGATTCTGTTGGCCAGGGATCTTTCTGATTGGCCTATATAGATTTTGTCACACTCCTGACAGGGGATACTGTAGATCACATTGGTTTGTGCCTTTGCGGGAATTTTATCTTTCACTTTTGAATAAATTGATTCAATTGTTAACACGGTTTTGTTAGCTAGTTTAATGTTATTGTTGAGTTTGAAGATTCTGGTTAACTTGGGAGTTAGTTCACTGAAATAAGGAATTGAAGCAAAAATTATTCTGATTGGTTCAGTATTAGAAACCACTGTATTCTGTTCTATGTTCATTAAGTTTTCAATGACAGGAGCTGGTCTAGGAGAACTGTATAATATTTTTTTAATTAGTTTAGTTGGATAGGAATTATCAACAAATAAGTTATGAAGTATTTTTAAATTCTTACTGTGGAAAGATATATCAGAGATTCTTGTAATGCGGTTTTTCATCTGCTTAACCAAGTTGACCTTCATTTTGTGTCTGTGGTAGGAATGGTAATTCAGATACCTTCCTGAGCTGCATGGTTTTCTATACCAGTCAATGAGAATTGTGTTATCCACAGATCTGATGAATTTTGTGTCTAGAAATGGGACAGCTCTGTCCGCATCTTCTGTTTCAATTGTGAACTGTATTGAAGGGTCATAACTGTTGAAAGTCTGAAGAATCTCCTCAATACCATTCTGTGGCAAGGATAGAATAATGTCATCTACATATTTATTAATTAAGAGAACAAACTCAAAGTCTCGCTCCAAGTAAATAATTTACTTGGAGCGAGACTTTGAGTTTGTTCTCTTAATTATCTCATCACCTCCAATTTGAGCATGGACTACTACCAGAGATTTACATATTTATTGATAAATGCCAAATCAAAAGAAAGGACAGGTACTGACGGTATCTAGTAAGTCATTCATCACATAAAGTAGCCAGAATTGGAGATATGGAAGCACCCATTGGTGTACCAAAAGTTTGTTTGTAAAATTTACTGTTGAAAGAGAAATATGTGCTATCGAATAGAAAAGTTAACAGTTCTAAGAATGACTCTTTCGTTAATTGACAATGGTTACTGATACGATCCCAATTTTTGTCCACAGCTCTCAGACAAGCATCTAAGTAAACATTACTAAAGAGTGAAACTACATCCAAGCTAGCAAGAACATAATTGTCACGCGATTGCATTTTATTAAATCTTGTTGAAACTTCAAAAGAATCCTTGATATAGTATTGATTATCAAAATCATATGCTCTGATTAGTATATCTGTGAGAAAGGCAGCAAGAAACATTCTAACCTATATTCTGCAGATTCGTTGGAATCGTTTCAACCACGTTGGATTTGAAAATTCAAACTTATTCATGAGGTAATAAGTAGCCTCTTATCTAATCATGATTATAACTAAATAATTTCTTTTAACTTGTTTTTCGTCTCATCAGTATGTTAATGTTAACAATTTTACAAATTTTACAACAGAGTAACCATTCCCAATAAGTGTAAGTGACAAAGTTTTTTCATTATTGTGAATTAATTTTAATACTTCCAATTTTTGTTGTCTACCCTGATGATGGAAATATACATTTCCGAAAGCTCGGACAAACTTGAATGAGTACACATTTACTTTTGCTGCATCCCCACTAAACTATAAACTAGTTTTATCTCTAACTGGTCAGCAAAGACTTCCCTTTCTTATATACTATAATATATAATATATTTCCCTATTCCCCTTTGGCTATGTTTGTGGAAAGTTTAATACAGGTGGAACCAAAAGACCTCTTTCAAAAAGGACGAAGGAACATAAGAACAATATAAAGACAAGACACATCGACATATCGAAACTAGCTGAACATATCCTTACTGAAGATGGACAACATATGGCAGAATGGAATGATATTAAAATCATTGGAAAAGAAGATAACAACCAGAAGAGTAAATTACGGAAAAATCAAGGAATCTGCTTGCATTCTTCTGAACGGAGACAATAGCATTGCTCTCTGTTCAGTTGATATAGATAGAACATGGTATTCACTACTGAAATCTGAAAATAAAATTGGTAAATTCAAGATTAATTAATAAAAACATCCTGTGACTCATTTGATTGCCAACGTCACCAATTGTCACTGAGAACTGAAAAGTGTCAAGACAAATAACAAATTGCTATTCAAATATCATTTTTTTTATGTTGAAAACGGGAGCAGATTCGTTCCCGAATCGTCCAAATCTTAGTGAAAATCTGATATTTTTTCTATATACCTTCATTTCTCTTCTCCAAACCTTTTTCTATACAAATTGTCACTGACAAGCTAGTGAATATTTCTTTCAGGCTCTCTGATAGGGAAATTCTTCGAACGCAGTGACATTTTGGGGCAAATTATCTTTACTACACGTATTATATTGAAATAATATTCATATTCTCATTTTATAGAAACGAGGAGAAAAAATTAAAAAAAAAAAACTGGAATAATGAATGTACCACCTCCTCGATCAACCTACAGACAGTATATATTGTCAGTTCTTGAAAAATATATACAGATGCCTTAGATTGTACACTTTTCGAAAACACAAAGGATACCTCAATAATGTATATATATTTATTTGAGATCAGAAGAGAGAGCTCTACCGATTAGGAAAACAAAAAACAGAGTGTTCCATTTGAAAAATACCAGTTTATGTAAAATTTTGAGGTTTACGAAGCTTTTTTGCATTATCTAGAACTAGATTCTAAACGACCATAAAATATATATATACTCCGATGATTATTGCCTGTCTGAAACTTTCTGTAAGACCAATATTAACTGGAATATCTATTGAATAAAATATAAACAATCACCCTGTTCACATACTAATAGTAAAAAATTGTGGAAATAAGTAAAAAATGTCGTGAATAAACAAACCCTTCTTGTTAGCTTCACGTAGAGAAGGCACTCTATATATCTCTCATTACTTACTCTGAGATTTATACGTATTTTCAAATGAATCTCATCGTGAATATAAGAACGAAAATTCAAGCTGATATGCCTCACTTACGTTTTTCACACTTCTGTCCTGTGAAAGAATACTTGCAATCCTCCATACAGTATCCATCTATATGACGACAACTCGTATCTGAACAATATGGAGAGCATTTTTCTTGACATCCATGACCATAGGTGCCAAGTTTACATTCTAGAACATTCGAATCTTCATTTTTTCGTTATTATCGATTAAGAAACATACCTTTACTGCAACTATCTTCATATCCAGGTGTGCAATGACATTCTTTTTGACCATCGATATATTCGCAGTATTCAAAATTCGAACAGTAATCCGTCCCAAAAATTGCACACGGTATACACCGTTTGCCAAATGAATTTTCTGGACATTTTATACCTAATAAAGTTCATTCTGTGATTTTCTCCATACTTTTATTTTGTACTGTCTTTCAAAGCTATTATCAACTCTAAATAGTTTTTTGTGATAACTCGGGTATACAGGGTGCCATTTAAATAAACTCATATAATTAGAACCCTGGAAACGCTCAAAGAATGATATCGAATGGTAACTTTGAAAGGATGAATATAGGGATCAAACTAAAACTTGTGCATGGCCCCTTCTTTCGTCCAGATGTTATTTGAACGAATTCTAATTAATATTTTCTTCAATCGTATATGAGAATGTTGACATTTTTTCATATTTAGTTAAAGTACGATATTCAACTCCATATGAAACAATATTTTCATCAAATTTTAGTGTTAGTATAGTGCTGAAGTTGAACATCCCAATTCAGAATCCCTTCAATATCATATTCAGTATATTATTCTTCATGGACTTACCATGAGTTTTTATTTCATCATTTCCGTCAGTAATCAGAAGTGTTTCTTCTTGAATCGCAATCGTTTGACAAGGAGTATTCGTTTCTTCAGATTTCAAATACCTATATTCTGATATAAAAAAAGTAATAAGTAGTGAAATAGGTATCTCCTGATATGATTGCATGATATAAAACACATTCTAGAATAACTCGTAATTAGGACTTGGTGTAATATATGTATACCATTTTCCTGTTCATCTCAATATTCATTGAATATTGAAAAGTACACTAGCCTTCAGATAACAATATGTCGCGATAAAACGGTGTGAGCGCTCTTATTGCAGCGTCGATTAAGGGAGCTCTGATACCAAAGAACTCAATATAAACACCTATATTGAGTTCATTGGCTGATACCGTCCATGATCGCCATGTTTTCTGAAGAAGAGTGTATACTCCAAGAGCCTGCTGCAAATTTCGACCGTCATCTAATAACGAAATGATATATGTTCCAGAGGCATGTAAAAACATTGTGGTTTATCGAACGGCACCCGTGCCATTCACTATACCCTGAGCAAAATGATTGAGAAATCGCACTTCCTTGTGCGAAAATTTCCACTAGAATCCGCGATTTGATAACGAGATAGGAATTATGCCATCCGATACCAATTGAATGGTAGATTTCAAAAACTCACTTGTACCACCCCTCAGTCTAAACCAAATCCATGGCACAGCGATTTATTTTCTGTTATTATTCCGGACATATTTCCGTCATGTGATAACGAGTTGAAACAAGAAGCAAATGAGAGCAGATGATGTCGCGTTTGCGAATATCCAAACGTGCCGCGTTTCTATAACTGATCTTAGTTAGTGGCAGAGCGTCAATACTTGCCAGAATATTTCGCCTTCCTCTGAAGATAATATCCATGGAAACAGTGTGAAACTCAACAAGTGGTTTAGAATACTCATTGTAGTGTGATCATCACATCAGTTTCACGCTGGTCCATCGGATATTATCTTTCGACGAGGGCGAAATATCCACAAACTTAGATCAGTTTGAATCGCGACACGTTTGGATATTCGCGAAAGGGACATTTCTCCCTTTCATTTGCTTCTTGTTTCAACTCGTTATCACATGACAGAAGTTTGTCTGGAAAAATAGGAGCAAATGAATTTCTGTGCCGTGGATTTGGCTCGGACTGATTCTTATCTCGTTATCAAATCGTGATATCAAGTGCAAATTTCCGCACAAACACGTGCTATTTTTTTATCATTTTGCTCAGGATAGTGATTGGCACAAGTACCGTTCGATGAACTACAATATTTTTACATTCGTTTTGGACATATATATCATCTCGTTCTCAGATGACGGTGGAAAGCGATGGAACTAATGGAATTCATAGGGTGAGTATACCTACCTAGCATACAGGGTTATTCCCGTTATACGACACGAAGCATGCATTGTGACTAAAGCATTTGAATTATTAGAATTTTTTTTTTTTCGGATGATTATATAGGGACCTATCAGTGAAACATTTCGAAAATATGATCATGTTGTACAGGGTGTGCCAAAAACACGAAATTTATCTAAGTCGCTTTTTTTCATATGGAATGCCCTTCATATTATTGCATTCTCAGATTCTCCCTGAAGAGCTGATTCTATCAATACATCATACTTGGTGTGTGTTTTGACGCAATAATGAATAGTTTCAGCACAAAATAATTCTAAAGTAGAAAAGTCTCCATTTCGAAAACTCTATATCTCTGTGATAATTCCCGCTAGACCCTAAGTTTGATGCATTCAAGAAATCAACTCTTCATGGGTAATCTAAAAAAATAATATACAGTTCATTCCATTACAAAAATAGCAACTTTGATACATTTCTTGTTTTCGGCACACCCAGTACAACATAAAAATATTTTCGAAATGTAGCGCTTTATTCATCTGATGAAAATTACTTTAAAAAAATGTAATGCTGAAGCCAAAATGTTTCGTGTCGAATAACGTGAACAATCCTGTATATTTCACATGGAAAACTATACTTCTTTATTATTATCAATTGTCTCTCCAAATGTGATGAAATAGTAGAGAAATAAATTGATTGAATTGGTAGTGAGGAGGTAATTATTCAATTTTTTTTTCTGTTAGTGAATTGTTTTTTTTTTCTATTACAGATCCGGACATGTTATCTTCTGATGAACTGAAAGAGCCTTCTTCAACTACATTTTGGATATCAATTATATTTATATTAACTAACAGAACATTATTTAATAATATTGAATCAATTAACATTCAAGTCACACATTTCTTATCATATAATATATATATTTGAGTAACTGTAAGATATATATACTTGAATAATAATATCAATTATATTATATTTGAACTTATTTAATTTGATCATTAATGAATGTTTTCTAATAATAAACTTCTAAACAGTTGATATCAAGAAATATTAGTTAATATTGAACTCATAGATTCCTTCATTGTGTCGAAAATCATAAAATTAGTATTAAACTAATTATTTATTTGAAATTTCTGAATCAACCATTTGTTTGTGGTTAAATCACATCAGTTTGGCCATATTCAAAAGCATAATTTATTAACATTGAAGAAAATGTCTTTATTGCTGACAAACTGTTCTCTCAGTGTAGAAATTTGCAACCGGCACTCCTACTAATGGTAAGTAAACAAAGTTCATACTGATTCATCAGTAATTTGGTGTAATCCACTATAAAACCTTGAATATTGTTTGAAATGAGTTATACCTCATTTTTTTCCAAAATCATCCAATGTGAAAATGAGATTCTTTCTTTTGGATTAACTGCATGGTCATCTGATAAGTGTGTATTTACTCACCATCTTTATTACACAATCTGACATCATCTAAAGCCCACATTCCTTTATCAGTGTCTGGTGCATTCTGTATCCGGCTAGGAAACATGATTAATTCCTCACCTATCAATTTCGAGTTGTCATAAATTACTTTGATTGGCTTCCACACTTCATTCTGAAACAGGTCAAAACCATAGCCATCAATTATATCTCAATAGCAATATTATTCAATATTATCACATTGATATATGAGGAATCTTCTGAAACGGTTCGATTTTCATTCTCAATTTCCTATATTGGATATACAGGGCGATCCACGTTCTAGTATGACGACCCAGACTTTTTTTTCATCACCCCAAATATCATCGAATTTTTGTAATCTTTAAGCATGGCTCGAATGAAGTATAATTCGACTCAGTGGGTTCTTTCCAGAAATCGTTCCTCTGATTATTTACGAATTTATTCTCCTCTTTACGAAAGCCTTGAATTTGCCGGACGCACTGTATAGGAATTCTATATGTGTGATATCTTTTTGAGTTCAACTTTCCATAGATATTCTAGAAATTGAAAAATAATATAGGGTGTATATATATATTCAATTTTCCCTTTTGAATTTGTCAAAATGAGAATAGAAATCGAATTGTTGCAGGAGATTCCTCCGAAAATGATAATTTGGCTGTAAAATAATGTATTCAGTACTTGTATATCGGGTGTTCTCGTAATGTGGAAAAGCTCTATTGTTCCTTTCTCCATTGCTATAAGAGTTCGACAAAATCTTCTTGAGTATTCATCGAAGTTAATGCATAATTTTGGATGGAAATTATGAAAACATAGATCTGCAGGCATATATTGGATTCAACATAATTTTGTGCTTTGGCAATGCCGCAAAAGAGTTGCAAATATAAGACATAGTTATGTGGGAAGATAACGACAAATTAGAACGTGAGAAAATACAAAATGTTCCATTTAAAAATTCGTAATTCTTGTGGCCCCATGTTCAAAGAACATCCTGTAGAGATTATAATGATTTTAATTTTCAGACTTCACGATATTGTACTACCTATATTCTCAAAAGAATATTGTATAAGTATCTCTTATTGCAATGAAGCTACAGAGCTTTTCCATACTATGTGGACAGAATAGATACAAGTAAATTTTCTCTCTTGAAGAGAATACTCTTTCACTATTCTCATTCCTTTATCTTCAACTTACCGTGGTATTAAATGTTTCTTTTAATAAAGTCTCCTTCTTGTTTATTTTGATTGTCAGTGTCAATGAACATGTATCACAAAGTGCCATGAACATTGAAATACAGAGTGTGTTTTGTTGTATTCGGAAGGAAGGACCTAACTGATCAGTACCCTTCGAATCAGAGTAGAGATATTTGTCTGAAAACAAGAAAACATCATTCTTAACCCTGGAAACGTGAAGTATAATGCCGTTTTCTACTAGACTGGAAATTTCAATCGGTGAATAGGTGGCCAGGTAGCCGTGCGGACAGAGTGTCTATGTTCTAATTCGCATTCGCTTGCCGGTCGTGGGTTCGATCCCCGTCGACTGCAGAAATTTTTCTGATGGCCCAAGAAAGTGTTTGGGATCACACGTTGAAAGGTAAGGCCCCCGTCATTCCTTGCTCGCACAAGACTTTCGAAGACTTTTGAGGGTTGCTCGTAAGGGGGCAACCGAAAGACGGATAGAACAAATTTCAGAACAAACAAATTTTCTTCAGATAAAAAACATTCAGTGCGGAAAAATCCAGAGCTATAGTATGACGAGTAGAAAAAGTTATAAATGTCGACTTATGTCTTCCTTATCTGAGTTTTGTCAAGGATGTTAACTCAACAGGATGGTGCATACATCACGAAGCAATCAAACCAACTATTCCTCCATAGGAACTCCATAGACCGTGATATAACCGCATTCATTTCAATAAAATTAAATGAAGGTATATTTCTCGGAGCTTTACAAATATTGATGAAATAACAATGGCGTGACGTCATATCATTCATCCTTTTCATTGATAACGGCTCGATTGACCATCCTTCAGGGTCAACAATATGTTTTCACATAAAATTTTTTCCAATTGTCTGACATCGAAAAGCAAACTTATGTCACATCCCTAGTTTTCAAGACCCTGACAAGTATCCTCTTGATACTTTATACTTTATTAATATTCTCGTTATTTCAACGTTTTGTCAGAACTGATCTCATTCATACTCACATTGGTGTACTTTCCATAAGACATTGACTGCTTTCGAATGAACCCACATTTTTTTTGGATTAAAAGGATTGCTTTCGTTATCATGGAACTCCAAGAAATCATCATTGCCTCTCAACACCTTCAATATGAATCCATGTTTCATAATTTTGAAGTGTCTCCAGATATTTTCATCCAAAGCACCAATTCTATCCTAGAAGTACAAGTCAGTTCGAATTGATAAAAAATGTAATCCTCTTTTTTACAAAACAAGTTCGAAGTTGATTATGAACTGACTCAAATGTGCTGAACTAAGTAGTATGGAAAATGTATTCGAGTTATTCGTCTCGTAGAAATCAATTCAAAAAGTGAACAAAACGAATGGATTAACTTTTTCGAAACACTGTATGTAGGTTAATCGAGGAGTTTAGATTTCTCAGATTTGCTTTCTTTCTCCCAGATTAAGGACAGAAGAACATATTATATGAACAATATATCAATAACATAACATAGATGTGATGACTCCAGAATAATTCGTATTATAAATTTTAATGTCTACCAGAAAATTTTCGATTCTCCAATATTTTCTACGTAAATATGGTAAAATGAAAATATGTATGAGTGCTATTTCAATATACTTGTGGTGACGAAAAGTGAGATGATCTGCCCCAAAATGTCATTGCGTTCAGAACTTTCTCTATCAGTGAGCCCAAATGAAAAATTCATTCGATTGTTAGTGACACTTCGTTTTGAAAAATTTTTGATGAGGAATATAGATATACAGGGTGAATCGTAATATGTGGGACGCATTTCGAGAGGTGAAAGGGCGTCTCAAAGAAATAAAAGAAGTCGTAGTTGAAAATATTTATAGAATGTTCTTATGTCCACCTTGTATGGCTTATCGTGGTGGCAAAATTTTGTCTGTTATGTGACTGGAATAGTGTCACAATAACAGATTGATATCTATCATAGTTGTCTCGAATGGACTATCCAACATCCACGGATATCTTCATCAAATTTTGGAGTTGAATTTGGTTATTGGGTTTTCCTACAAAATTGCATCCTCTTTCATATTTTCGAATAATATTTCAATACCCTTCAATAGTGCCACTGTGAGTCAAATAATGCTACCCAATCAATCACTCTCAGCACCGAACATGAACGTTCAAAGTCGGTATTTTCAGGTACTTAGTTATGCACAAAAATATAAAAAAATTTTTGTTAAGCGGTAATCTAGAAATCAGATTTTTTTTTCAACTTTGACACCCTGTATCTCGCAATCGGAACCTTCTACGACTTTTGTTTATGAGGACTTTTTTATTTTCTTTTCTAAAAAATATGCCTACTAGAGAAAATGTTCATTCAGGCCAAGTTAGGTCAGATATTTCAAAAAAAGAAGTCTTCCTTGTACTCTCAAGTAGTTTTCCGAGAAATGATTTTCAAATACGAAGAGAGAAATGAGAAAAATCCAATCGGTCATTACGGCGTTTTGACCACATTCGGCGGAAATGTCCTAATTGCTGTTTCGGCATAATGACCACTTTCGGCAAAATGATTACCGATCTGTTTAGGCGTTTTGGCCAAAAATCCGACGACTTGACCATTCGGCAACTTGTCCATTCAACGAAGTGGAAAATATTGAAATTAAAAAACATTATTCTTGCACAAATTGTCTTCGTATTTCAATGTGTTAATTTATAAGTATACAGGGTATATCTTCATAAGTTAACGCAATCTATATTATGGAAAACTAAAAGTACTAGCACGACTCTGAAAATTCTCTGGGCTGGAAGTGACGTTATCTTTATTATTTTCAATAGGACACCCTGCAATTTACAACATTTTCGAATTCCTTTTATGATTCTGATTCAATTGCATGTTTCATCCTATATACAAGGTGTAATTCAATTGATGGCTAGTAATATAGGATATGGTTCCTTTTAGCTAATTCTGAGAAGAGCATCAGTTTATATGAACATATGCCTTGAACCTCTTGAATTTTGAGCTAGAGGGTGTTAAAATTTCAAGAAAATATGCGTTTTCTTATCATACCTTTGACATGTACCTACTAAGCAGTAATAGGCATTTATTAATGCAGGAGATTTTTCAATATTCCTACCAGTGGTGTCCGTATGTGATGAATATTGAAGATTTTTCTGAAAAAATACTGTACGCCCTCGCTTTTTCCAAAAATAAAAATGATTGTTGGAATCCCTATACATTTCGCAACAATTTGACTCCATGAATTTCTTTCCTCCAACGCACCGTTATCGCATAAAAAAATTGAAAACCATTTTCATACATTCGTGGTATAACGAAAACTAGTACGCTGGTGTCCTATTTCATATTTAAAATTCGATCGATTTCGTTGCAGTCTTATTTCGACAAGAACATATTCATAATAATGAAAAAATAAAATTTCAACACCCTATATCTCGAAAAATATGTTCATGTAGGAGCTCAGGAACCATATCCTATCCTATCAATTAAATTACACCCTGTATGAAATGATTTTTGAGTTATTCGAGTTTTTCTAGAAAAAGTAACGAATGACGAAGGCATTCATCAAACATAAGGACGCCATTTTTATGTGAATTGCAATTTTTAGTGAAATGCATTGATCAAATGTTGAATATCGAAGGTTAACAGATCACTGACTATAATCACAACCAGTGAATAATTTACAGGGTGCGCAGAAAAGTGCACTGAGAGAAGTTTCTATTAGCAGTTATAAGAAATTGCATAGCCACAGCAAAATGTCTGCATTCAATAGGCGCCAAAGCAATTCATTTGCTGAACTGAATAGATTGATTTTGCTAAAAGAACTCTATTAGATACTAATAGAATTTTGCATTGTTCAACACCTGCCTGGCACATGTAGAGATGTGGATGAAAGTAGGTAATAGGTCGTACTGACTCGTATCAAATAGGTTGACTGATTTACACTACTCTGATACTTTGTTACTACTAATAGCTGCTGAAAATTTATTATTATTATTCTAGATAGATTAGTTCATTGACATGAATAGATTTTCTAACAGATTTAGTAGGGTCGTGTGAATAATTCAGAATTATAATCAACAATCATGATTAAGAGAAGATATCTGAATATATATATACAGTGTGTGCGATTTCAACCCGCAACGCACTCTCCCATCAATTCGGAACCCGTCGCCGGATTTTCAGAAACAAAAATTTCATAATATAGTACCAAACGAGATATATTCGAAAATGTTGACAGATGTGGAATATTCAGAATTTCAAGGCCTACTTTTGATTGTTGAATCGGTCAAATTTGAAAAAGGACTATTAGGCAATTCTTTGTCGAAACAGTGACTAGCCCATTCGATTCAGGCATATCTCAAATACTCCTATACAAAATAGGAACTCAAAATAATATATAGGGTATTAGTTATTCGATGGCAAATTTTGATATATTCGATTTTTCGATTCACTCCGTGTTTACGCCACGCGTAAATTAACGCCCTGTATATTAGTTATGTTGATAATATATAGTTATAGTTTATTTTATAAGGTATCAAAAATATCTAGGTTCAATTACTGTCCTTCATTGGGAATCCCTTCAGTTTTTTTTATCTGAAAACATTATTTTGTTTATGCTGGGCTTGACCTTTTTTGTTTTTTGTGGAAGTCAAGACTCGGCGATTCAGACCGGCCTATCGCGAAGATATCGAATAGATATCCGGCAGTACCAATTGACTCTTCGGTATACGCGCATGTATTTAAAAATATACATTGTTTGACGTGCCAAACCCCATTTTTGGTGACTCGTAAACTCATCTCTCGTGAGTAACCCCTAGTGTGCTATCTCCCACCAACATACAGTCCACTCATTCCCCCTTGGAGGACGGTGGTTGCAACCCCAGAAGACCTGCTACAAGTTGGAGAGACCATAAAAGGAATACCAGGTAGGCCAAGTTTAGCCGTCTTCTTGACTTCCTAGATGTTTGCAACTTCAACCTAGTCCCCGCTACATAACATTACATAACATTTTTGGTCCTTGAAAGCCAGATCGAGTAGACTGGGGGTATTCTCAATGAAAATATTTCAATATTTTCAAAGCAAATTTAGCTCTGAAAATCAATTCACTAAATCATTTCAGGTATCGACGTGGTTGATATACCAGTTTTTGTGTCTCGTGGGTTCTCCGTTTTTGAACAGTTGCTACGGATGTTTTTCTAACCGCTCTCGGAGGTATTTTGACAATTTTATATTCTCGCCTACTCGTGCGAAATATATTGTACTTTTTTTTTTCAGTGCAATTGTTTTACACCTTTATCGATAAAGTAATACGTAGTTCTCTGATAAACCGATTGAAATATCGTAGGATTAGTTTGTCAACATCCATTTCTTTCGGGTTTCTCTCGTTCTGTTGATAGCTGTGTAGCCGAAGCCGCTAAAGTGAATATTTTCATTATTATGGCGGCAAAACAACTCAAGCAGTACCGCGCTGCTAGAGAAATTCATCGCAATAGAATTCATGAAACTTTTGAATTAGCTATCGCTGCTTTAGATGATCAGTCACAACACAGTTCCCTTAAAGTCCGGTTCTCTGAATTAGGAAATATCTATGCGGAATTTAACTCATGTCATAACTCAATTATTCAGTTGTTATGTGTCCAAGAGGAAGCAGCGGGGATTTTGGAGGAAGAAAATGAGTTTCGGAAAGATGCCGACGATGAATATTTCCGCATCAAAACTATTTGTTATGATCTCTTCGAAGCGAATCAACTTACTTTCCCAAAAGTCTCAAGTGTCAGGCTGCCGAAATTGAATGTTCCTAATTTCAATGGGAATTTGAAAGCTTGGCCGACGTTTATAGATTTATTTAATTCATTGATTCACGAAAACGACTCCTTATCGAACATAGAAAAGTTCCAATACCTCTTATCATTTGTGTCGGGAGAAGCTCTTTCTTCACTCAAAAATCTCCCGCTCACCAATAATAACTACTCAATAGCATATAATACACTGACATCGATTCCAAAATAAAAGATTATTAGCCAACTTTTATTGGGAAGAAATAGTTAATGCTCAAAAGATAACCTCAGAAGCTTCCCGTAATCTGAAACATTTATTAGACATATTTAGTGATAATTTACAAGCTCTGAAAAATTTACAATTCCCGGTTGAGAGCTGGGACTTTGTATTGTTTCATTTATTGAGTAAAAAGATTGATTCAGAATCTCTAAA